CCTCTCCGTATCATGCTCCCTTCGTCGTGGGGAAATATCCCTTTGACGGGGAGTAACCTCCTCATGCTCACGTCGGTTGTCGTGTCTGGACGGGGGCCTGTTCCCTTGGGGCTATTCATTTCTGTCCCTAGGGGGTTCCAGTCGGGAGCGATGTGCATAGTATTGGCAATCTGCTGTGTCGTGTCCATACGACCGGTGGGTACTAATTTGACCTATTTCTAGGTCCTGAACGCCGGCCTCGACCTCTCCCCCTACGGGATCCTTGTGGGGTTTCCGTCTGCTGGGTGTTAGTAATTGGGTTGATATCCTCATATGCCAAGGTAGGAACCGCGTTCAAAATGGTGGTGGCAAGTGTTTGGCCAGAACTCTCATTTCCAGCCTGGTTCATTTGGTAGTCCATCAGGTGGGAGGTCGGCCCTCTAGCACGCTGCCTTTGAGGAGGTGGGAGGCCCCTACTTGCCCTGTTCTTATACTCAATCAATTCTTCATTGATAATTTCCCGCCTCATCATCTCGAGTAGGACATCATAGGTGGTAGGATCTTGATTTTGCACGTCCCTCCAGAATAAGGTATTCATGTTCAGACCTCCCCTTAATGCGGATAGTGCCTCACAGTCGGTGACTTGTACGCAATACGTCATCTCATCGGTGAAGCGTGATAGGAAGCTCTTTAGGGCTCCCCATGTGCTTGTCTCATGTCTTGGAGACGTTGGATGGGGGCCTCTCCTTCTTTGCTTACTGCGAACCTCTTTAAAAATGTTGTCTTGAACTCGGGCCAGCTTCTTATGCTCCCAGGCGGTAACCTACTATACCAAATTTCAGCCGCTCCACTAAGTGTTAAATGGAAAGCTCTGCACTTCACAGCTAGGGTGGAGCCCCTTTGGCTCATGTGAGTTTTATAAGCATTCAGGTGCTTCTCTGGGTCACTTTTTCCGTCATACTTTGGTATCTTTGGCATTACACAGTGGCTTGGAACCTGGGCACTCCTTAGTTCCCTTAAGAACGGCAAATTCTCATCGTCATCGTCCAAGTCACAGGACCTCTGCTGCTTATCTGAATCGAATTCATCGGCCTCATGCCGTGGTTGTTGGTGAGAGGTTCCGGGACGATTCCCAACCTCTTCCTCCCTCCTCTGGCGCCTGTTTCTAGGTGGAGCAACACGGGGGGGCATTTTCATGCCTTTCTTCCAGCTGCTGGGGCATTGGAGGTGGAGGTGGAGGCGGTGGCCTTGTCCATGGCTGGTGAGTCTGCTATTGCCTAAGCCTCGATTCAGCGGGGCTAATTCTATCAAATACACTGGCTGCCCTCCTATGTCTTGACTCTTGCTCAAACAAAAGTGGGAAGTTATCATGGTTCAATGGGACCTCGGTGGGTCGGCCAGAAGCGTAGTTAGAGGAAACATCAATTTTCACTTCCCTTTCAAATGGCCTTCCACCTTCGGCTATAGTCCGGCGAGGTAGCTCTATGACTTTGAATTTCATCTTCTTACTAGTAGTGCCCTTGAGTGGCGTATGGAAGAATGGGGAAGCCTCCCTGGCCCTGCATTTGAGCCATGAGCTCCCTCATAGGCAAGTTTTGGCTAGCAATATCCCTCATGTTGGCCGCCATGGCAGCCATTTCTCTTGACAGTCGTGTCGTCGCCTGCATTCCAACTCTTCTTTAGTGGTGGTGGAGTCTTTGCTGAGCTGCTGGGGCAGCGGGTAGAGGAGGCATATTTGCATTTTCTCTTACCCTCCTGGGGGGTGTGTCTTCGTTTGAACTTATTTGCTTTTTGTCTGACTCTTCAGATTTTGCTACGTTGTGGAGCTTCCTCTTGTTCTTTTTCAAGAACAAATCCTTTTTCAAGGGGGATGCCCAAATGCTCTTCAATAAGCTTTCATCACAAGGTTGTTCGTGGTTATGGTGTGATTTTCTACAGACGGCGCCAATCTGTTGACCCCAAAAAATGTTGCCAACGAATACCAGACCCACCCACGCACACGCGAGTGAAGGTCCTACACGTTAAGACACGTAGACGGTCTAGAACGAACGGATCAGGGGCATGGGAGTAGCTCAACGACGCGAGACGAGAATGTTCGAAATCTGACGGGATGTTCGTAATCTGATTGTACAATAGTTACCAATCAGTGCCCATGAATGTGCATGTAAATATGTATGAACTCGTATTGTGTTGTAAGATCATGTGAAAGAGAGAGTAAAGTGTAGTTTCTTGTATTGATTCTTGCATTAGCTCTTTGATTTTACACAAGGGAAGTATTTATAGTGTTACATGTAAATGGCAGCCCTTGGATGAGGTGGCACGTGGCCTCATCTCTTTAATCCAAACATCCAATCCTAGGCATCATCCTTGACTTGCTAGCTTGCTGCGCATTTATTGCTTATGCAGAACTCCCATACTAATGACAAGACTTGACATGTACACTTATGACAAACATTCCATCAATCATTCACATAAGATCTTTATGTAGAAGATCTCTTGGGAGAAGTGATCGTGGAAGACGTTCCTTCATGGTTCGGAGGCTTCTGCCACTTACGTAATACTTTCACTTTAGGGCTTCGGCTATCTTCACAGGCCTCGGTATGTGGGCCTCGGCCATACATGCCACCTCTGCTAGAGTGCCACGTGGTTCAGATTGAGTGGGCCATAGGCCCAAGTAGGTTGGTCAAGTATGACAACACGTAACAATAAGTACTCACAGATGAATCTCCTTGTGTAAGATTCATGAGTTCTCGTTTCAATTGAAAAATCTGTGGACCATTCCTCTGCTGATAACGTTCCTTCAAATTTGTCCACATTTCGTAAGCTGATTCAGAATAAAGTCCACTGACTAAAATCTCTTTAGACACTGAGTTGAGGATCCATGAAGTAACAATGTTGTTGTTACGGATCCACGAATTCAGCAGCTCTTGATGCCTTCAGGTCGTGAAATGATACCATTGACAAACCCCAGCTTGTTCTTCACAGATAGAGCAATCATCATTGATCTGCTCCAAGAGGCATATTTGTCTCCAATTAATGGTTGTGAAACAAGGATTAAACCAGGATTATCCGAGTGGTGCAAAAAAATGGATTAGATCCATCATCACGTTTTGATTTATCCATCGATGATGCAGAATCGTTTAGCATTTTACTATCCATAGTTGATTGAAAATGGATTTTCACTGAAAAATTGATAGGATGAATATGAAATCAAGGGTTGTGAGCAACAAAAATCGCTCTGATACCATATTGAAGAAAAGAGGAATTTTGGAAGAATGGAATGAAATTCTCGTTCAATCAATGTAATTATCAGTACAATGGTAAGTTTAAATAGAATTGGTTAACTGATTCTAACAATCAACTAACTAACTAACTTGATAGATGTACACAACTAATTTCTAACTAAATTTGGCGCCTAAATCATCTTGAGTTGAGTTGGTTGTTCTGTTGGCTGGTCTGTTGAGCTATCTGATGCTCATTTATTCTAATAAACTTGCCACCATAACCACCACCACAACCCATACACCACACCACACCATAAATTCACAAAACCACCATGTATATTCGCACCACCACCACCACCACTCTACAGGCCTACATCGCACCACCCTTTCACCCAAATCTAACAAAAGCATCACCAATGCGTAGATCCTCACCAACATTCCTTCTCTTGTAGCAGTAGTGACACCGTCGACGTAGCGAGAAGATTCTCCACATCGCTGTCACGAGAAGCACTCGCCACTGCTAGCGGCAACAGCAATATCGTCGACGACGAGAAGCTTCATCACCGCATCACTGCCAACTATTGCTTGCAGCAGTAGTGACGCGGTTGATACGACTGCTTGCAGTAGTGACGTTGTCGACATGGCAAGCAATATTAGCGCCTCTAACCCAACGAGAAGCTCCCTCGCAACGGGTGATTTTGGATATGGTTGGTTGGGGTGGACGAGTGCATGGGTGTGTGGTGGGTAGAGAGAGAGAGAGAGTAGGTTGGGTGGGTGGGGATGGGGTGATATATGTATATTATGTGTAATTAATTTTTTATTAATTTTAATTATTAAAATTTAATTAATATCTGATTTGTGAAAATGGAACTTAATCCCTTGTTTTTTTGAAAATGAATCTTTAAATGAACGTTTTGAGATAATTTTCCTCTCAAATAGACGCTTATTTTTCACTCTTAGGCTTTTGCTGTTGTGGGCTCTTATCAATTGGGCAGTGCTAGGCCCCGTTAAAAAGAGGAATTGACACAAGTAACGCTGAAAAAGTTGAAAATTTAATTTAGTGAGGTTATTGTAGGATGGTCAATTGCATCGGACAAGCAAGACCCACATTAAGACTGGTCCTAATTCCCTGTTTGGGCTGACATTTACGAGCGAATTTACTTATAAGTAAATCGGTAGATTATAAATTTAGAGATTGACAAAATTAATTGAATGAACCAATAGATTCGATCTAATTTACTTAAGTTTTAAACGATTTCAATTACTAGAATTAAGAACTTACTAATTCTGTCTAATATACTCGGAATCGAACGCAAATTCTCAGGTTGTCATCATGAAACATAATTACATTTGAAATCAACTATTCCATTTACGAATTGAACAAACCATGCTCTCTCTATTCAAAATGAACAAATTTTTTTGGGTAAAAATTTAAAACAAACTACTTATTTTAAGAATTAGATCAAAATTGCTCTCCATTTTTGTAATTAACTTTTACTTAAAAACATGTTTGCCATCGAATCAATAAGATGAGAAGAAAATTAGAAAACGTCCAAAAAAACTTTGTGCTTCTTCAAAAAAGTTTTAAAAGTTGGGATTAAATTCAATAATTAATTTTTAAATTGCGTATCTTATGGGCTCACAACTTTTCTCAAATCTGCTTAAATTTTTAGAAAAAGATTAGTCAAGTAATCCCTTTGAAGCCCCTATTCTATTAAAATTAAAAATTAATTATTTTTTCATCTGTCCACCTATCCGTGCACAAATTGGAAAACTCAAGAAATATTTCCGGTTTGCCCCAGAACACTTTTTTGAGGACCGAAGAGACAAAGCACATGTGCCTTTATCCACAACAGAGATTGAATTGAATCAACACTAGTATGGTTAATGATTATTTTATCAAATAATATTATATTATATCCATCACTGCAAATCCCTCTGCATTCACGGATATCTGAAACGTTGGCTGGAGTTTTTAACTACCCTGTTCCATCAGTTTGCTCAGAGGTTTAAGAGCATTTGCAGAGTAGAAAACCTGAACAAAATTGAAAATTCCAATTCTCAGGTCAGCAGATAAATGTGTTTTTGGTTTAATTTTCAAGTAAAACTCCACTTCGTTAACTGATATTCAAAGAATTTTTTCGCTAGAGAAAAAATAACAGTGTCGCTTCATACTTGTCGATTAAATTTCATCTTTTTGTTGGAATTTCATTCTCATTCTCTCAATATATATATATATATATATTTTTTTTTTTTTTTGTGTATTGTGTATTATTGTCTGTATGGGGTGAAATCTGGTGAAATTCCAATAAAATCTGTTCCAATAACAGTGCAAGTTTAAGCAGCTGTTTAGCAATACTCATATCTTGCTAAAAAATTGATAGAATCAACACTTTCGACTTATATATAATAAAATGTGGATTATTTGTCAAGCAACAGCCTAGCTGTATATTAGTTTTCCTTTAATTGTATATTATATGTTTGATCCTTGATTCTTTTTGTAGAGATAATTTTCACTCATTAATGAACTATCAAAACATGATTGAAATACTTTTAAGCTTATATTTGTTCTTTTTCTCAATATGGGTTTGTGGGATTTTATGGTTTTTCACCATAACTAGTGTTTGAATCCTGCTCTGCAGTATGTGAAACATCACTATTTGCTGACCTATAGTCAACAGTCGAGATGTCTACTTTATCACTAGCAGCTGGGAATTTCACAAGAGGACAACGAGGAGAGGACAGTGGTTTAGGATTCTGGTTAAGTTCATATTTCGGAAATGAGCTTTTTGGAACTGATACTCGTGGAAATTTGATGAGAACCTCAAATCGTGTCCATTTCAAATACTTGGAAGGATCTAGGACAAGAAATGGGAAAAAATTTCATGTTTTTGCAAAAGTTAGAAACTGGAAGAAACATGATTACCCATGGCCCGATGACGTTGATCCAAATACCGAATCACCCTTGAAGTATCTTTCTAACTTCAAGCCTTTGGACGAGAAACCTAAACCCGTGACACTTGCCTTTGAGAAGCCACTGGTTGATTTAGAGCAGAAGATCATCGAGGTTACTCATCTTTGATACTGAAAGTTATTTACTGATTGTCTGATTTTATATCAAAACCATATGATTGTGGTCGAAGATATAGCAAAAAGAAAATCATAATCATGCTTTGTTCATACCACTTGCACAAGTGTAAAAAAAATCTGTAGTAGATAATCGATGCTTTTTTTATTTTAATCTATCTGCAGATACAAAGAATGGCTGATGACACTGGGCTTGATTTTACTGATCAAATTAATGCTTTGGAATTGAAGTATCAACAGGTAAATTTGACAAAATTTGATCAATGTTTCCATTTGACAGGTCAAGCAAAGAGACAACTCAATTGACAAATTTTCTCTGCTTATAAAACATCCTTCGTCTGTACAAATTAATTGTGCATTATTTGTTCAACTTTACAACTCTTTCTCACGAGTGCTTTTCAGCTGCATTTACCACTACATTTGAGGGGTGTCTATTGTTTAAGTCATTTCGAAGATGTCTATTAATATATATTGGTCTTGAGTATTGTGCTAGAACATTCACACAAAAAAAAAAAAAAAGAAGAGAAAAAAGAAAAATTGAAATTTAACAATCAACCGAGATATTTGTGCCCCCAGCTTAAAAGTTTATTTGTAGCACCAATGTTTAATTCAAAGAATCTCTGTGTTGAAGCTCTAAGCAACTCAGAATCTCAGATTGATGCAGATCATTTTCTTCATCAACATATTCAGCATGGTTGATTATGTAGAAGTTTCACGTTTTGTAAATTTTCTGTTACATTTTTGTTTATGTATGAACTTCTCTAGTTGATATTCATGCAGTTCACATTCTGAATTTTCTAGTTTTCTTTCAGGCTCTTAAGGATTTATACACGCATTTGACTCCCATCCAACGCCTAAATATTGCTCGACATCCGAACAGGCCTACTGTTCTTGATCATATCCTAAACATCACAGAGAAGGTAGATCTCAAGCTTTTTCTCACTGTGAAAATTTTCTACCATTAGTAATGGGATCTTACTAATTTATATATCATTAAGTGGGTGGAACTCCACGGAGATCGTGCAGGGTATGATGATCCAGCTATTGTGACCGGTATAGGAAGCATAGAAGGTAGAAGCTACATGTTCATAGGTCATCAAAAAGGAAGGAACACAAAAGAAAACATTATGCGCAACTTTGCAATGCCAACCCCTCATGGGTATGTTTCGAGAATCATCCATGTGGGAAAGAAATTAATAATAATAATAAAATAATAAAAAAAATTATGAATTTTACCAAAGATATGAGACTTTCGGAAATCTTAATAGCTCTTTTGACGAGTCTATTGGTGCATTTTTCTTATTTGTCTCCTAGTCACGTAGTACTGATGCGTTGCAATATTTACCAATAAGTGAGAAGACATTCTTTTCATTAGCCATCCAATGCCATCTAGTGAACTGCATCAGCATCTCTGCATTGGTATTGCTTAATGAAAAGGATGGACATGCAAGTCAGACTAACAAAATGATAGTTTTACAGTTATAGAAAAGCTTTGCGAATGATGAAATATGCGGATCATCATGGATTTCCCATTGTTACATTCGTAGACACACCAGGGGCCTTTGCTGACTTGAAATCTGAGGAACTGGGTCAGGTATGCTCTCTTCATATGCTAATCTTGGATAAATTATGGCATATCTGTTTCAATTGACGTCACCTACTTACAGGGTGAAGCAATAGCCCATAATTTGAGGACAATGTTTGGCCTTAAAGTCCCAATCATCACAATCGTAACCGGTGAAGGTGGCTCGGGTGGTGCTCTTGCCATTTCTTGTGCCAACAAGTTGATGATGTTGGAAAACTCAGCGTTCTATGTTGCTAGGTGAATTTTAATCCGAGACTCCAAGTTGTTTGTCGAGGACAAATGATCTTCATTGAGTATATAAAACTAGTTACTTTACTATATTAATTTCTCAAAATTCAAGATTTTAAGGCATTCCCTCTGGCAAACTGGTGAGCGGCATAGTATTGAATAGCATACAGCACACAGCGTGATACAAGTTTTTGAGTTGATGGTGGATCAACATTGGTGATTTTTTGTTTAAGGCTCAGTTTATTTTTCAACAACCTAAAAGTGGGAGGAGGATTAATCTGTCCACAGATTCTATCCATGGAAAGAGGATTATTCCATCCATGTATTTTAGCCTTTTTTTCCCGATGATCGTCACTTGGATTCATCATAGATTCTATAAAATCTTGTGTTTTTTCTTTTACTCCTTGATGTGGTTTATATCTCTTCATGAATGATATATTCCCTTTACCAGTCCAGAAGCATGTGCCGCGATCTTGTGGAAATCGTCCCAAGCGTCTCCAAAGGTATGTGACGAATTCACAATCAAATTTCCTGAAGAATGATTTAAATTAACTGAAGTTTTGATATTCCATTGAATAGGCGGCTGAAAAACTGAGGATTACAGCACAAGAACATTACAAACTGAGGATAGCAGATGGTATCATCCCTGTAAGGACATTGATCATCTACCATTTTGATGTTTGCCTTGGTCATGGGCAGAGAAAATTTAGGACAGGAGCAAAATATTAATAATAATAAAATTGAGTCATATGAAAAGATTCAACTCAATAAATGTATAGATCTCCTAATTTGCTATATCTAATCACCAGGGGAAAATTTTTGTTCTTTTCTTTCATTTCCTTCTTAATTTGGTACAAGTCCAGTGGTTGTATTAGAGACAAGCATCTCCTTTCATCTTGAGCTTGAGTGCAGCAGGCACTTCATTGCTTTTTAACAATTTTCCCTTTATATTCTTCAGAAAGCGGCATGTGAATTATTCCAAAATCATCTTTATTGGCTTTTTTCAGTACAAGTAGTTGTCATATTGCAGGAACCTATAGGTGGTGCACATGCTGATCCCGTATGGACATCTCAAAATATTAAGGAAGCTATTCTCGAGGCAATGGAGGTGAATCATTTGCAGTTTTAGTCCCTCAAAAGTTAATGCTGTCGTGTTCTACTATAACCATATGAAGTGTTAATCAAATAAGTGAACTTCCAATCAAAACATTGCAGAAGGCAGTACTCTTTTGCACAAGTACAGAGAAAATTTTGGTGCAAAAAGAACAAAACAAATTTTCTAATTATCCTTGGTTCTATGCCGTTTATATCCAAACAATTTCAGTTTCTACATTTCTGCTGACATTGACACCTATCTTGTTCTAGGAATTGACAAGAATGGATAAAGAAGCGTTACTTCGACACCGAATGCTTAAATTTCGTTCGATTGGAGTTGGAGGGTTCAGAGAGGGTTCAGAGGTGGAACCTGAGAGGAAACGGAACATGAAACCATCTGAGGTCAATGCACCAAAAGTCGCTGACATAGAATCCGACATTGAGGATCTCAAGAAAAAGATACTTGAAGCTGCGGGACCATCTGATCCAATTACCAGCCAAAAAATCGAGAAACTTCAAGAAGATCTTGATCAGGAGATGACCAAGGCGTTTACTTCAATGGGCTTGCTTGATCGGATAGAATCTCTTAATCTGGAGCTGGCTAGGTCCCCTGACCCAGATCAAGCCCTGAATTATGATCTTAAGGAGAAAGGAAATAAAATTGTGCAAGAATTTAAGAAAAATCTGGCACGACCTGGAGACTATCTTGGGTTAAAGCAAAAGCTCCAAACACTCAGCATGGTTAGCAGGCTTATTGAGTTGAAAGAGAGAAGTGAGAAATTGAAAAGCCAGGTCAATCAGAAAATTCCAGCAGAAGTAAAAGCCAAAATGGACCTTCTAAAAAAGGCTCGGGAAAAGTTGTCGAATGGTAATCAAGTAGACGAGAATCTCTCTGAGGAACTAGAAAGGGCTAAAAAAGAGCTGGAAGAGGTTCTAAAATCGGCTAACTTGGAAGTCATTGGAATGGTGAAGAGAAAGGACATAACTACACCTCCTGAATTGAAAGAAAAGATTGTGCACTTGAACAGAGCAATCACAGAGGAGATTGAAAAAGCAGTAAACAAGAGGGAAGGCATTAGTGGCAAAATTGAAGAGTTGAAAGTCGAGATGGCGAAAGAATCTACTTCGGAAAAAGCGAAAAAGCTGGAATCAGAGATAAAAGAAGGTATTGCTATTGCACTTAATGTCACCCCACTTAAAGAGAAGGTTGAGAATTTAAGAGTGGAAATGTCGTCATTCTGTAAGGAAGTTGTGGAAGATAATGTTATTGTCGACAATGGCAGATTGTAAAGTTAAATCTCCGTTCTTCCTTACCCGAGAGGGGTTAGGGACGGGGGGATATTGCGCGAAAAATCTTGTGTTCATTCTTTATAATACTGGTTATTGATCCATGCAAAAACTATCCATTGTTGTAACTAAAATTTGTGTCTTCTTCCATCCATGTTGATTGTGTTTGTTGCCTGTTTCTGTTATGATTCAAGTTGAGTGCCACTTATTTATTGGTCCATTTTGCTGCGGATATTAGACCAAACACGTGCTATTAAACAATGTGTTAAGGGATGGGTTATCCTACATCGGTTTAACACCGAAATAAATACAAATTTATAAAAATCTTGAGCTGCTCCATTTAATAAGGTTGATTTTATTAAGATTGACTCTAAGTTTTAATATGGTATCAGAGCCATCCTATGGGTTTCAAAATTGGTCTGCTCAAATAAGTCACTATCTTGAAAGGGCATGTTAAGGGATATATTATCCCACATCGGTTTAATACCGAAATAAATACCAATTTATAAAAATCATTATTAAAATGGACCTCAAATCTTAACACAATGTGAAGCAATTGAGAATTCATAAAAGACATATATGTTGCCTATGTTGGATTCTAATTTTTCCTAATTCTTCGATTTTGAGGTGTTGATTGTTTTGTTGTCGAATTGGTCTGTCTAATTTAAATTTAGTTTTCAACATGCTCTTTACGTATAGGTCTCTTTCCTTTTATTACTCAAAGGCTTGACACATGCACAACTCATAAATATAATCGGACATTTTGTATACTTCGTGTAACGTTGGACAATCTCGTCTAAAAGCATAACATGGTAAAAAATTAGTACATTTGTTTATTCGAAGATAATTTAATAGTTGAAACACTATTTAAGTTCGGCCAAGGATCTCTAGGTTATTGCTCAAATGATTTCTCCTCCTCTATTTGAATTGTATTTTATTAATTCAATTACTATTTCGTTTACAATTTTAACATTTGCAGCATCAATGGTCCAAAACGGTGCTGTTCGTTAATTTAACACTTGCGTTTTAAATTAAATACTATTTTGTGAAACTATTGTAAGCCTCCAGTCTTAATTATACCTATAAATACGGATTTATAGCCAATTAAATTAGCAAGAGAATTGAAGCAAAAGTTAGCATTATTTTGACTTTAAATTATACAATGACATAGCTATATGTATTATTTTCATTTGTTATATTACAATCATTATTGTCTGAATATTATTCAGTTGCTCCTAAAAGCACAACTTTATAAATTCATATAAATATTTGCATATCTATATTCTTTAATCTTTATTTTTTTTAAGAAGCACAAACTTTTGCAAATCAACATTCTATTGTTGATCTCGAAAGGTGACTTCAATAAATATTATTATTTTTGAAAAATATTATTTTAATATTCATGGAGAAGCAAAAGAAAACAAGTTGCGTTATTACTCATGGAATGTTATCTCATTATCTAGTTTTCAGTTGTATTTTTTCTCGAGAAGCACTATTTTATAGTTCTATCAATATTCGTAAAAAATAATAGTGCTTGTAGATGATCTTGTAGAAGTATAAGATTTAAAGTATTTTAATGTTTTGGTAGAATATTGTTGCCCGAACTACAACGAAGCAATGTTGTGCAGAGATAGAGGGTCCACAGGTCATGAACTTTTTTCTTAGAGAAGAAGTAATGACAATATCTGAAAACCTTATATTTCCTCAGTGTTGCAACAACAAGATGGTAGTTCGTACTTTATAAATAGAAGATATATTATTATCACTTCACTATAATATAAAAGAGTCTAACTTTGGGCACTATTCATATTAGACACTAGTCACAATTTCCCATCGTCAACATCTTTTTTGCCTTTTTCTTCTTCTATTCCCATTTTGCCCTTACTCACACTTCACTATTAATTTTCATATGGCAAGAAAAAGGGTAATATTGCCTTCTTACTTATACCCACAATTTTCTCATTGTTGACTTACCTCTTTTTACGTCCTCAATTTTTTATAAAAACATACAAGTTTGTTTATTAAATTGATTAAATTTACTAGCAACTTCAAATTTTTTATCTTTACAATTTTAAGTCATTCTCCTACAAAAATATCTTTAATAGATAATTTACACTTTAAAAAGTTGGTAAAATGAAGTTGAGAAATAATTTTTTGGAGTTCATTGACTCAAAAAATTATGACTTGATGTTTTTTTTTCATATATATATATATATTCTTTGGGTAAAAATTTGCATCATATTAATAAATTTGCTTCAGCGCATTAATATTTATGGACTTATATACATTGTACACGTGCGAGGTAATAAAATCTATTACGTAGGTATTTTATAGCCAATGCTAAAAAATTTACCTTCTAAACATTTTAATTTTATCAAAAATAAATAATAGCGGGTAAAATCTTGATCAATGGAGGAACATTATCACATTTTTGTTCAAGAAGATCCCAAAGTAAATATTATATTATACATTTGGCAAACGTTAACAATAAAAATAAGTAAAATAATATATTTTATTTTTTATTCAATATTATTTGAACATGTTTGGTACAAATTACTTAAAATTTTCAAAAACACATTTTATTAATAAAATAATTTTACACATGGACTAATAATATTTCTTACGTTTTAATCATATAACTGTTATATTTGAAGTTTCATTTTAAAATGTCAACTTTATCCAAATTCTTATGAGTTAGTCTATGTTTTTACCTTTACTCGATATGTGATTTATTCTTTAATATACCCCTCTAAGATGGTGGCTTTTTTGAGCAAATCAATCTTGATATATGCTTGCACATTTTTTAATTTTAATTGGATCGAATTACTCATTAAAACTTAATAAGCTCTGATGATTCAATATTGTTAACATATAATCTATATTTGACTATAAATTTAACGAACGTGATAAAAAGTCATCAAATTAGGTAAATTCAAATCTATATGCATCATACTTTGATGGTGATACCATAGACTAATGCCATGAATTAATCATAAATAATTAATAATAAATATTCGAAAGGCAAATTATCAGATACTATTTTGCAGGCACATGCAACATCAACCGTTCTTAGTTTTGGTAAAAATTACATCATAGAAACTTTAACGCTTTACTTAGACGGAATTGGACACAAATTGCTTCTACTTTTAAGGTACAACCAAGGAAGAAATTAAAATATTTTTGTATAAATATACATGGAAGTCTATACCTATGTGTTAGAACACACAACCATGTTCTCCAATAATTTGATTTTGTTATATAAATTTTGAAACTCCAAACAAATGGTGCATTATGGTGTCCTAAGTTCTTTAACTTCTGTAATCGATTCACATCAGTTACACCATTCTGTAATTGTTAAAATGTTATTTTTATTTTGCTTTACTTGTATATTGAATCTATTATATTGTATTTATAAAAGCACTTCTAGAAATACTATGATGCGATTAAATCGTAAAAGCTATCTTGATGAATGCTATTGACAAGGATGCCAAGTACGTAAAATAACAAAAAAACTTTGTATTGATTGTGTTTTTTATTAAATTTAAATAAATTATTTTTTACTAGGGCGGTTGGAAAGGAGAATTTCAAAGATGATGCCAAGCATGTACATAACAACAAACTTAGAATTGGTTGCGTTTCTTATTGAATTTAATACATTAGTTTTTATTATGTGGTAATCAATTGCTTTTTTGTTGATTTATTTTAATTCTTACCCCAATCCTTTATTCTTTATGAACAACACGTTATTTCCTTTTTTTTTTTTAACAGCTTATGAATATCTTTCATATTTATAAATAAATTTCTCGAAAATTTACATACACTTATTTTCAACATTAGCCAAGTAACGTGCAATGCACGTTCACCCCACTAGTATTATTTAAAGAAATTGAATCAATTTATACAATTTATAAATATTGATTTATTAGAAGAATATTGTTTCTATAGCTCCTAAATAAGCAATAGTTTATAATGGAAATTATATTCGTCCATATTTTTTTCAACTTTCTGCTTCAATAATCAAGTTAAATTATTATTTATACAAAAATCAGTTCATATATTTTTTTAAGAGTGTATTATTATTAAATTAATTAACCTACAACCTCCACTCCACCCATCCACAAACCCAATTATCATGTTGTTTCTTCATTTCACCTCGATTTTCCTCACCTTTGCGCATTTCATCGACAATGAGTATAGCGGCGACACCTGTACGCGCAGCAACGATGAGGCATGCTCATCATCATTGCTCGCTGCTTCTTCATGCACACATCGATCTGTTTTCTTTGTTCCTGTCATCACTGTGCACGAAGCAGCAAGGTCACTGCTTCATGTGCAGCTTCGATCTATTTTTGTCATCTATATCTTTGTTTCTCTATTTGTGTTGGTGCGATTTTCTTTGTCGTCTCCTCTGTTTTATCTACATTTGTTTTGGTGTGGTGTTTGATGTTTGTGGTGTGGTAGAGGTGAAGAACATAGTGGTAATTGTTGATACAAGTGGTGGTAGTGGTGCAGTGATGATTCTAGTGGCGACGATTTTGAGATTCTTTTTGGTAGGGGGTGGGGGTTGTGGAAATGGTGAGGTGGTTGAGTATGGTAATGGTGGTGTTGGTAGTTGGGATAAGGTGGTGCTAGTGATGGTCTTGGTCACCAATGGCGATGAGAACGGTGGTAGTGACGATGGTGATGAGGTAGTGTGGTGTTCGATTGGTGCCAATGGTGGATTGGGGTTGGTGGTGTGAAGGGTGGGGGTAGAGTGTTTGTAACCTATTATTTGGGAATTGTGACCAATTATTTGAATTATTATGATCAATAAATAATATGTGATCAATAAAAATAAATAAATTATGATTGATAAATAATATGTGATCTAAAAAATGTGAGATTGTTATTAAATGTGTAATCATGACTCACAATTTGTTAAATTATAATCAATTAATTTGATAATTTGTCATCGTAAAATAAATTGTGATCGTGAATATAACTTTTAACTTATACAAAAATTTATGATTTATGATCGAGAACTAATTCGTGATCTTTTAATTTGATAATTTATGAGCTATAAATAGATTGTGTCCTATAAATTTGTGATTTGTGATCGAGAAATGAGACTTATAAAATTTATATTTTCTGATTGTGACTAGTAAGTTATTTTGACGACAAATTGTATAGTGTTTGACCTTAATATATTTAATCAATAAAATATTTTTAATTATCTATTTTAATTAGTTAAATTTAATTTTGACTTGATTTTTGAAACTTTAAAACATATTTCTCAAATTTGAAATTGTATTTTCTGACTACCTTAATTTTGTATCCTTCCTTTGTTTATATATAATTCAGAAGGAATATTATGAAGTTGCTCTGAAAAAGTATTATTTTATTTAAATTGGTTTCTATAAGAATATATTATTGCTCTTGATGAAACATAACTTACTTTGCATCAAGGATTCAAAATTCTAGAAGAATACAATTTAAATTTAAAAATAAAAAAATAAAATAAAAATAACATTTTGGGACCACGTTGTCTATTCCTGTCCCATCTCGACTCCCTCCTCGATAGTTGACAATGTGGGATAGGACGGGATCGGTAATATTTTGACATCAATATTTCGTTGTTTAACTCTCGTAAAGTATAGCTTGGATCGATTTAAATTACGATTTAATGATCGCGCTCTAAATAATATGTCGATAAAAAGTAGGTATTATTATATTGATACCGTGGTTTCTTATTATTTACATCACATTTGTAATTGAAAAATCCTCAATCTTGCTAATTTTTGTATTTATGTCCTAACTTTTTCACCAAATTCTTATCATAGGTTTAATGATTTGTTTGAATTCCATTTCTCGGGAGAATGGATTTTGCAATAGAGATTATTTGGAGAATGTGTAGATGAAAAGTAATATGTGTAAAATTATTTTATTAGAAGTGTGTAGTTAAAATGAGTTTGCGGAAAAATGAGTTTTTAAATAATGAAACTCTAATAGGAGCTAAATTAAATCGGAGCAAATTATCTCTAATAACATTTTTTATCCAAATATTATGCTTAAATGCATTTAAATGAAGGGAAAATATTTTATAAAATGGTTGAATTTCTTTTTTTCTTTTTTTTTTCTTAATTAAAATACTAGAGATAAAAATTATTTTTAAGCCTCCAACGATTCTTTGGACAGAGACCATTATTGGAAACAATATGTACAAATTAGCCCTTGTTCGATTGTCATTATTTTGGGAAAATGGTAATTTACATGGTGATTTTTAAGAGAACGTGTGATTCAAAAGAAGAAAAATTTTGAATGTATTTACAAAATATTCAATAGTGCAAATGAGTATGAATAAAAAATATTTTCAAATAATAGTTGTCAAACAGAAGCTTAATATAGCCCTGCTTGATTTAAAAAAAAATTGATTAGAATTTTAGTTAAAATCAATAGTTTATTTTAGTTGAATACTTTTATGGGATCAATAATTTTTTAATCACATATTTTATTAACTTTCATCGAAATCTACTAAAATTCTAATTTTTATATAACCAAATTAGCAACATAATGTTCAAGGCAAAAAATGTGATAGAAATTTGAGAAAAAATTGCAAAAATGAGCAAACACCGAGAGTGTTCAATGCAATTAAATCGTTGTATAACTAAAAAAAAAATAATAAATAAAAAATAAACCTTTTGTCAAGCAATCTCTTTGGGGGAGTATATTCACTTAAAACTTCTAAAAACTTCTATAGAATTTTTTTTTTTTGTGTGGTTTTTGTTGATTTTATGGACTTTTATGGATTTGTTAAAAATTTATAAAAGTCCTTCATAAATTTCTATATAATTTGATTAAAGATTTTTAAAGACTTTTAAATACTTTTAATCTTACAAATTCATTACTCCTCAATTAACACTTTCAAAAACCATGATATCCACAAATTTTTCTCGAGTAAAGTCACTAATCATGACCTAATCATTCAATTCTAATGCAAATAAATGTAACATCCCAAATTTTCGTAAGTCTTGAAAATGTTACAAAAAACTCACATTTTCTTCACGTTAAATGCAGAACAATAAAAATATTTTTCTTTAAAATAAAATAACTAAAATATCCATAAATTTAAATAAAACATGAGAGCTGTATCTAAAAAAAAATCACCTAACTAATTAAATAACATGTCTCAAAATGAATTAAATTTACTAATAAATTGAATGACAAAAAAACTTAATGTTTATTTTTCCTTCAATCCATTTGGCAACCTGAAACACCATCTTGCCACAAAATCCAGTAGATACGAACTCACCTGTAAATTTATTATAAGAGTGTAGACAATTATATAACGATAAAATAAATACTTCATATCATTCTTTTTTTATGGAGTACATCGGTGACCAAACAACACATTCATCTTAAGTCATCTTAAATTTCCGTAGGATTTCATATATCTTTCTAAAGAACCCTAAAATTCATTAACAATCCATACATATTTAATTGAATATAAAAGTATACTGAAACAAACAACTTGTGCAAAAGTATTTTATCTCGATCGATTTGAAAAGTTGTGAAAGAATGTAAAATAATGCACGCGAATACCCTTTTTCCTATGCATCTTTCTCTCTTTACCTTAACTCTCCTTTTATTTCCTTTCTTTTATGCATGAATATGATTGACTTGGTAGGCCTATTTATACAAGATTATAACATATACTTCTATTGAATTTGTGGGAAATTGTTGGTGTAATAGGGGGGGCTCCCCTTGGCAGAACCCCCACTAATTGGAGTGGGTCCCACAACAAAAAAGGGCCTCACCTCCTATTGGTGGGGTTCTGTCAGCCCTCCTGTTACTCCAGCATGGTTCAAATTTGTGTGTGGTTAGAAGTCCAAAGCTGTGTAAAAGTAAGGAGATTAGATATGAATTGACTTTTCGTAGATTTTGGATGCATCAAGTCATAGGTAAGAATAGCTTGCAAATAGGAGCTATCTATCTCTAGAAAAACTTAAGTGAAATAAAGTCTTGAAAAAAGGGAACTCCATAAGGACAATTATAAAATAATGTTGAACCCCAATCTTGAGGGCTTCATCGCCCTGTCCCGCCCCGTTTCGTCCCTAGAGTATTGTGAGGGAAGTAAATTGCGGGATGTGTCCCAACAGGTCAGGGAACAAGAGCTTTTCCGTACACTAATGCTCACAGAGAGTTCAACTTCATATCTCCAAAATCGAACCCTCACACTGCAGCTACCAACAAGGTTGACACTACCTCACTTCTGTTTTTTGCATCACTGGGTTAGCCTAGAGAACACAGTAAGTGGTATTTGAAGTGAAATAAAATATATAACTAATAAGTAAAAAAAAAAAAATGTTGAATCCCAACATTGAGAGCCCCCACCCTGCCCTTAGAGATTTGTGAGGGAAGTAAATCACGGGATGTGCCCCAATAAGCCAGGAAATAAGAGCTGTATGTACATTACGCCTACAAGGAATCCAATTCCATGTCTAAGGAATCGAACCCCCCCACACTGCGGCTACCAACAAGGCGTGAGATAACCCCACTCCAGTCCTTTGCACCACACGTGGCTAACAATCTGAACAATTAAATTAATTAAGTACTAATAAATGATAATTTCTTTAAACTTCAATATCTTGGGTCTAACTTATTTGAATTAACTTTTTTTCATATTAAAGACTTCTAATTAATTACAAGTTACAAAAAGAGCCCAATATCTGTACACTTATTTTCCCTCTATTAGAATCTAATTATTTGGACAAAATAATATCAAAATTAACTATTTCATTTTAGGCCTTCAACTTTTAAAAATATTAAAAGGCATCTAGGTCAAAATCTCTATCCTCGAATAATTAAATTCTATAAACATTCTGAGCATTACATAAAATAATAATAAAATTTTACATCAATTTCTAAGAACATAATAAAAAAATTTCATGAACTTAACATAAATTCGAAGAATACAAATATTTTTCTTAAAAAAAAAAAAAAAAAAGATCGATTATATGGATTCTACATTTTGAATCAATTGCATATAATTTGAATTCAAAGAAATTATGTACATATAGAATAATCATAAAATAATTTCAGCAAATGAATTGAAGAGATATGAGAAAATCCTAGAATTGAAAGAAAAAATACTTCTTTTTTTTTTTTAATTTTGAAACCTTCACAAATGTTAAGAGTATATTAGAGATTTTTTTTTTTGAAATTTGTTATTTATATTTTTAATCAAAAAGTCTCCAAAAGTCCAGTAAGTATAGAATTCTCCAAAAGTTACCGTCTATTTGAATATCTCATAACTTATAAAAATTTCTAAAAAATTTTACTTGAATATCCTATAACTTTTAGAGATTTTCTAAAAATTCATAGAAGTCTCAATTAATAAATTTAGACTTTTAATTTTTAAAGAGTTTTTAAAAATTTCAATTAATTAAATTCCAAAATTTTTAAAAATCCCAAATGAATACACTCCTTTAAATTCTTTCCAAACAAGATCACGAAAAAATGAAAATGTAACTGCAAGATCCAGAATAACTCACAAATATAGGGGCCGGTTAGCAAATTCATATCATCAATTCCTTCGGTTGCTGCTGTCAGCGTTTTGGTCTGTTCTTCCATTTTTGTTCTGTTCAATTAAAAACTGCCAAGTGTATATCTGGCAAATCTTTTCTGTACACATAACGGCACTGAATTCACGTATATCACACCCTAGAACGATCTCACCGTAGACTCCTACGACTCTTTCTCTAAAATTGTTTTGATTTTCCGTGTAAAATTCTTCCAAAAATATTTTCTCATTTTTGAGTCACAGTCAAGTTCTTACAATTTCATTTTCTCTACACTATTGACCACTGCTCCCCGAGCAGATTAGCGGGAAAACCCTAACAGCGATCGATTAAAAGATTTAGACTAGAATTTTCGTTTTCTGTATGAGTAGATATTTTGATTTTGTTTGTATAAAGGTCGATCGAGTTTTGTAAATTTATTTATGTAATGAGTTCAAGAGCGAGATATCCACCTCCGGGAATGGGCGGCGGCATGAACCCAAACCCTTTTCAACCTAGAAATCCTACGCAAAACTACACGACAAGGGGCCCAACACCGAATAATATGAATCACCAGACGTTTCATAACCCTCAGCAACAGCAGTGGCTCCGGAGGACTCAGCTTCCGCCTTCTGACTCAACTGCCGATGAGGTTGAAAAGACCGTACAGTCAGAAGCGGTTGATTCGAGGTTAGGCTTTCTACTCTTCCAAATCAGGAATATGAGATTTTGGTATTTTAATATTAGTCCCTTGTCTGTTCAATCAACCAAATCCCCGCAAATATTTTTTTGTCCTTTTACTTTCAGGGACAAAGTTGAATGCCATACCCAATATTTTGTATTTGTGATTGAATTAATTATTCAAAACTGAACAAAAAAAGAGGATCCAATTCCGAAAATGTAATATCGCAGAGTTCAAATCTGTGCAATCTGAAACTATGTGCCTGCATGGTTGGGACACTTCCTTAGAACTGATTCACCTTTTAGTTCTCTGGCATTGCCTTTTAGTGGTGGAATGCGTAGGAGATTTTTGAAGAAACTCTTAAGTTTTGTGGTGCAGTAGGCCTGGCACATGGGTTCTCGAATTCCATTAGTTTTATTTATGCTGATTGTTCCGACCTTGTTATTAGGAAAGTCTATCTTGTTTGAAGTGCAAAATTCAAGAAAACTTTACTTTTGATTTTTTATCGTCATTTTATTTGTAGCGCTATAAGGAGACGCACTCTGTTTTCTACTTTCCCCCCTCCTCAAATGTTCTTTTATGTAAATTCACTTAGGTCAATATATAAACACAGGAAGGCGTGGAGGCGATATGGACCTTCACGAAGTTTAGTGTTTTGCAATATGGTAGGACTCAAATAAAGAAACAATAGGAAATGAAATTATATTATAATATATTTTATGCGGATGTGGTCGATTCAGTTTATATCATGGAGGGTATTGTTTCATATCTGTCATGATATATGACATTGCATTATTCTGATATGCTCGTTTTGGCATATAGATGGCTCAAAATTATGAAAATAAAATAAATTTTAGTAATATCTACATATTAGCGACCTAAACAAGCATAAATAACAAAATACTAAGACTTTGAGAGTAGTAATGCTACTTAATTCATATACAATTATTATATGGAATATATTATTGCTTAGCTGTCAAATTTTCCATCAGGATACATAATTTCCACAATTTCACTAAAATAATGCAACAAAAGTATGCGCTATTAACTTGACCTGAAATAACACTTCCATTAAATCAGTTAATATCAAGAAAGTTAAGCCTCCATCTGGAAAGAATTTATAAATGGTTTAATTTATAAGTAGATTAGAAATGAGTGATTGAGAATAAGTGCATGGTACTTGTATGTCCATTAGAATATGTGGTTGAAATGAAATTTGACCATTTATTAATGATTTATAAATTTCCTAATGGAGCGTAAATGATAAACAAAAAAGTGTTTTAAGGAATATATGTTCTTTTATTCTTAAAGGAAGCTTTAACCTTAAAGAACCATTTTTATGCAATTGAAAGAATATTAAGTGATGAATAAATAAATAATTTCAACAACTGAGCATGACCTAAATATAGAGGTAGTGTTTAGAAATGATGAATGAAACTACAACCCTAATTTTCTCTCGGCAATTTCATACTAAAACACATTAGACTAGAAAAGGAACCAAAACTATCAGACAGGGATAATGGCGGAATGAAATGGTGAAATGGCAATGGCCTTTAATTGACTTGGACTTGGCTGACCATTGAACTATGGTTGTTTAGTTTATCAAAATTATGCTGTAGGTTCCTTTTTTTGGGATGAATGGTTTGAAAAGTTCCTCCTAGAATCTTCTTGTTTAATTGACACAATCTTATTAACTATTATTCTTTTCTTTTTCATCAGTCCGCAAGATTGGAAGGCAGGGTTAAAGTTACCACCGGCGGATACCCGTTACAAAACAGAGGTAAAGAGTTCAATGACATGCTTGTCTATGTGTTGCTCACTTCATTTTATCTTCTGGGATATATTTAACTACTGCTGTTAGTTAGTTTCTTTACTTAAAAGGTTTAAGTTTTGTTATGATAGTAAATTGCCTCAATAAATTTATCATTTTATATTCAATGTAAAATTAAGGAAGGCCTTAGCCAAATCTGACCAACTATTGAGCCATTCAATTGCATTTAACTATTTTTTTTTTTTTTTTGGTAAGAGAACTTAAATTGAAATTGGAAATTACTTTGAGAAATCATATCAACTGCATGCATTAATGTGAGAAGTGCTACTTTTATTTCATCCTTTTTGTGTTTAGTGCTGTAAATCTATTCTCATCATCACTTTCAATTGTAATCTAGTTAACAATCAGCCACGAAGTTTGTCACTACCTCTTTTAGCCAGTCAAATGTTAGTAGCTGCAATAGATTTAGGCCAAATGCAGTATTTTTTTTTTTTTTACTTCCATATCACTATCTCGCTTTCCTTTTCTCTCCTTTAATTCCTTAGTGCCACTCTATGTATTGAATATGAGGCTTTAAGCATGTTTAGGCACAGTCTCTTTTTATAGATAGTGTAATGTCCAGTATGTCTCGAAGGTTATTCAAATAGTTCTTTTAGCCATTATAAAAGTTGATTGACACATATAATGGGCATACAAATGTATTCAGTATAGATTTTATGCCAGTATTTTCACAATTTAATATAAAAAGCAAGTAAAATATGTACACACATAATTTTCTAGTGGGATAGAAACCTGACCATCTCACTATCACTTAGGTCATACACATTTTCAATCTCCACTTAGGGTATTTAGCCATATGGCTGGTTTCTGCGTATATCTATGTAAAAAGGCCCTATGGTTACAAGATCCTTTTTTAATTTGGATCACATAATAGCACGTAAAATACTTAACCTAAAACATTAAAAAGTTAAAACACAAAACCACTTGACATTTAGAGGAATCCATACATTATTCGTCAAATTGCTTTTATACTTGAGCTACTTAGAATAGAAAATTCTAGTGAACGTACTAGAAAACCTTTTTTTTTTTTCCCTTTATTCTCTCCCTCATTTTTTCTCCCTTCTCATCTCTCTCTCCCCCCATAACGAAAGGGTATTTAGATGTGTAATTTTATAAGGATAGTTAAATAATTAGAATTCTAATAGGACTCTTAATTCAAAGTTAGATTGGTCTAACAAACGAACTTATCATAAAATACAATTTGAAAAAAAATTAACTACATGACGATAAGATTCTAGTGTTGATATGTACAAATTTCAAGTTTTGTCTTAATACTTTTATATCAGAGAATTCAATAATAATTTGATAGATATCCAAAATAATATTAAAATCATAATTAGCAATTAACAACTATCCTAATTAAAATAGAATTACAATTAACCATTATAATCTTACACATGAACTTGCATTGGAACTAGTATTTGAATTGAAAGAATGAAGAGTAGTAAAGTCTAAGATAAGTAGGATTACAATTTAATGTTAATCTTTGTCAAAGGGAAAATAAAATAAAAGTTAACATTTATCAACTTAATTACAAATTCTAATCAAATAAAAAAGAAAATGTTAGTTTATACTCAAACACACACACACGATTCTGCCATAATATCAAACAAACGAAATTAATTACCGATAAAAGAAAATAATTTACAATGTCAATAACTTGAGCTTAACATAGCTCGATTAATTTTTTCTCGAATCCATGGTTCGTCATTTAATACGAGCTATCCAACTCACCCAAAATTTAATTATTTTAATTATTGGGAAATATTAATACAAGATCCTAGAAAATGGTAAAATTGTTAGGTCACCCTAAAATCTCAAAACTTGCATTTATGCTTCATAATATATTGCACGTATTTTTGGGGAGTTAAAGATGGTTGAATAATTTGGTTCTGAATTATGACATTCAGTCCAACGTGGGTAATGAATGCTCTGCAGTTTGTCATGGTCTCCTACCGGATAAACACAAGTAAGCCGCTGTTTGATGTCCATTATTTGGGGAAAACAATGTTTTGAATAGTGATTTTTTAGATAATGTATGTTTAAAAGTAGGAAAAAATTCTAAGTTTACGTACTGAGTATTTTATTTTGTGAATGTGTGGTTAAAAATGAGTATATAAAAAAAAAAAAGAATTTTCAAATAATGGACATCAAACAGGGGCTAAATAACTTATAAAATTTTAAAAATTAAAAATTTTGAAAAATGCACACTATTAGATAATAGAAAATAATAACAGGGTTGCTTTTGAATTTGATTATTGAAGAAAAAAGTAGAGTGGATGGCATTTAGGAGTACTTGGCAAGTAGCCAAACAATGATGGAATTGAGTAAATTTAATTAATACTCACTAAACTTTAGTGTACATTACTACTTGCTCACCGAACATTAAAACATTACTCATTGCTCACTCATCTATCAAATTGCTTACCCATTCATCACCCAGCTGATCTCCATCATTCTAGACTAACGGAATTTGCCATGTGGCACATAAATCAGACAGAAAATTAAAAAACTCAGCCGGAACACAGAAGGCGAACGCCTAGTCGGCATGGGTTCACAAATT